GTGATTGGCCCAAAGTCACTCAATCAGCTTTTGTGCCTAAGGCGGGATTAGAACTCACCATCTCCTGGTGATTGGCCCAGAGTCACCCAACTGACTTTCATGCCTAAGACGTTTGAGTTAAGAGTTTTGCAGCGATAATTCAGCGCCAGAAAATAACCACAGATGGCTGATGCTTCGTTTAACATCTTTATAAACCTAAGTAGATCTTACAAACCAGTTGTAGATTTCTCCAACATGGAGCAAACTCAGACAGAAACATGTTGCAAGTTCAGAGCAGAGCTCCAGTCTTCAGCAAGCAAGCAAGTTAAGTTTCATCCTCAATAGATCAGCAAGCAAGCAAGACGAGAGAAGCCGTTTCATCTCAATAGACAAACTCAGAGCTCAACATAGCCGCAGAGTTGCAGAGCTTAATATGGAACCACGCCTGGGCTACTTTTAGTTTCAGTTTCTAGCCTAGGCTAATTCTAGTTTCAGTTTCCAAACAGTCCTCATTGGCTGACTTAGTTGGTATGCCTATTCATTGGCTGAACTTGTTACCATGCTGTGTTCCAGTTCACGAATACACTGACAAGACGGGACTAGAACTCCCAGTCTCTTGGTTTCTAAGCCAGCACCTTAACAGCTAGACCAGACTGGTTCTCTAAGATGCCCCAAGTAGGGCATATCATTCCTCTTTTATTACGTTGTTTTGATAAAACTCCTTTCATGTCAACGTCGAACCCCTTTTCTTACCTCTTTCCGTTTGGCTACAGCGGGTATTTTCCACCTATTAATTTCTTCCTTTCCACTCCGGTTCACTGCAAGATTTGAAAGCGAACTGGTGTGGAAGAGGAGATGGTGGAAAGATACATAATCAAAACATGTATTTTATTTTTATTTTATTTTTTTCTCCCCCCTTTTTTTTTCCTGGCTTCCGATGCCTCCCTGCTTAGTTGAGACTTCAGGCAGTCCGCTTGTCAAATTTTATTTGCGTCAAGATTCCTCCCAAATGAGTTGTTGAAAGTGCCAGAGGGAGCTGCCGGGATGTTACACATCCGAAAAAAACCCCTCAAATTCTCTCTCTTTCGGAGCAGAGCTCTGCTTGTCAGGGGCAGGTGGGAAGGAGGAGGAAGTTTTTATCGGGGGAGTTTTTATCAGGAGAAACGAATAAAAGAGCAAAGTTTTAGTCCTCAAATTAGAGCATTGGACTAATTCCTCTGATGTGAATGTTGGCACGGTAGATATTTGCTTTCTTTCTTTTTTAATGCTTCGTTTTGGCATCCTACCCTGAGCAAACGACTTCTTCCAACTCCAGTTATTTTATTTTCACAATCTGGAGCTTGTTTTCCTGGTGTGCAATCAATTTGTGCGTTCCCGTCTTTTCTCTCTCTCTCTGTTTCTGCTGTAGGCTGATCCAACCTTTGCAAAAGAAGTCGAGGAGAAGGTGAACAAGTAGGTTGCTCTAATATGATAAGGAGATTATTTAATTTTTTCCCTCTCCCGAAGGAAACCTCTGTTTATTTTCCTGAATTTCCTACACCCACCTACTCTAATCTACTCTCCTCCAGAGGTTTGGAAGCACAACCTTGAGGGCCTCAGGAATCTTCATGCTATGAGCCTTCCTTCCTTCCTTCCTTCCTTCCTTCCTTCCTTCCTTCCTTCCT